ATCGGTCTGCCTTGCCAGCCCGCTCAGAGATGTGTATAAGAGACAGTAACGAAATGGCACGCAACACAAAATTCGTTGTCAAACACTTTTCACAGTAGGTCCGTTATTTTCTTCAATTGTCGAGTATTCTCTTCATATTTGACTGTGATTGATCAATTCTACACTGCTTACGATATTGGCATACAATTATTCTATAGAATTATCACGGTTTATGATTTAAAACACTGATATATGACGTATTATAGAACGGGCCTATAATATACGACAAGAAGCTTCTAATTTTTACCGCGATATAGCGTCGCCACTGTTCAACGCGGAGTTCGTGGCTGACTAGGAAGGGCCCTTTATAAAAATTTCAATAACAACTTGCTTACAAAACTGCAAAGTCTCCTCGATTTTTGTTGTCAGTCTGCTGTCAGATTGTATTGCGTAGATTCTACCCGGTTTCTGCCGTCAATCTGATATTAAAGTCTGTTAGCACAATCTGCTCGATTTCTGTCACCAATCTGTTATTAATGCTGTGTTCCAAAATTTACTCCCAGCACTGAAATCTACAGTTTACGTTACATGTACTATAGATTTTCAGCACTGGCAGTGAATTTTGGAACACTGCCCAGATTGTGTAAATAGGTTCTGTCGACAGAATATAAGCACGACCTCACAAGATAAGTTCAGGCTGCTAACATTTTCTAATCAAATCTGTTGCCAGTCTGTCGACATTCTGTTAACATTTTGCTGATTGGGAAGTTATGACTATTTAAATTTTAGACTTTCTGTAAAATTTACAAGAAAAATAAATATGTATTCATACATGGCGCGCGCGCGTGCGCGTATGTGTTTTACACAGAGATCAGAATCTCGTGATTAATCATTTTCACAGTATTTAATGACTCTAAATCCTGTTTGTTGTGTTTTACGAAAGAGTTAGAGAACGCGTTTGCTATTATATTTACTTTATTGTCAATTCGAAATGATGAAAAATTATTTATTCTAAAGCGCTTCTCAAGCAATTTTTATTCCTGTTTATGGGTTTAGGTTTAAATGGCTTTGTTTAGTATGTAAGTTCATTAAAATGAAAGAGAAAGTTTAAAATTTAAACAGTACAGTCATAACTTGATGAAAAAAGTCGTACGATCATAAAATTCGTTTGAAAGCTGATCTTTAATTATACTTTCAGACGTCGTTGAATTTATTTAAAAACTAGTTTCCTTTGTGCCACAAAAAAATGTTAAAAGTAATTCAAAAAATGCCATTTTTGGTCTCTTTTATTCCAATTTACTCAAAATCCTGCACGCTAGGCAAATCCAATGGCTTTTAACGCGAAAAAATCTTTGGGAAATATGTTATCGCATTTCGGACAGAAATAAAAATGTTTTTTGTCACACTGTGTTTATCGACTTATGTTATAAAGGGATTAAATAGATATTAAATCTTAAATCAACAAAAAAGTTAAAAACAAAATAATTTTTTAAAATAATAGAAATACAAAATCCTTTATTTTGGTTATACAGATGCAATTTCCTAAAGTTGGTATATGGGGCAGATTGTTTCTAAAAATGTATAAATCAAATATTAAAGCCTAATGCTTACTGCATTATTCTCACAACTTTTCTACCATTTTTCAGAAATAATAGATATTTTCATATTTTTCTATTAAAGAAGGATTTTTTAAGGTTTATAATTTAAGTTCCAAGTTGCGAGGCAGAATTTGATCTTATTTATCGATCCTCCTTAATACCTCGATTTGATGATTTGACTAATGACTTCTGATTGGGGAGTAGAAACTGTTTGAGTATGTACTGTCTGTGTACGTATATATGTATATAATTCGTAACACAACTATTTTTACAAAACAAAGAGAAATTCAGCGACATTATAAATCATGAGATCGATTGTATATTTTAAAACGAGGTGAAAATTACAAAAATGAACAAATTCACTTATAGGATATTTTTTATTTCATTGGCCAGTGGTAGTGAATTTACTCATTTTTGTAATTTTCACCTTATTTCAAGATACATAATCGACCCCCTGACCTCAGAATTTTCAAATTTCAACATTTAAAATGGTGAATTTAACATGATCGTCTAAATTTTGAAAAATCACTTGGTGCATGAAATTTTCCATTTAAAAAAATACTTGAGGTCACTGAATTCTAATCTAATCACAAAATATCAAAATTTAAGATGATTATTGATTTAATATATGACCGATATCTAATTCTAATAAATCGTGCGTCTAATGTGAAATTCAATTTTTTTTAAATTTTTAAGTTCGATAAATTCGAATCTAATATATCTTAACATTCAAAATGGTAAATCCCCAAAAAAATATAATGTAATGGCTACGTTAAATATATAGGTATATGCGTAACATTTTGAATTATTCTTATCTATATATGAATAATATTTAGTAAGATTAATGTATGGATTAATTACTATTATTATATCATAGATTATTATTGTATATACAATATATCATTTTAAATTTTGAAATTTTGAGGTTAGATTTGACCAATTAAAAAAATTGTTTTTTTAATTGGTCAAATCTAACCTCAAAATTTCAAAATTTAAAATGATATATTGTATATACAATAATAATCTATGATATAATAATAGTAATTAATCTATAACCAATTAAAAAAACAATTTTTTTAATTGGTCTAAAAATTATTTAAAAAATATTTAAAAAAAATTTTTTTTTACTAATTGACCAATCAAAAAATGCAAAAAATAAATTTAAATTCATGACCGACATAAATCTTTAAATATTGTGAATAATGGCTACGATCCGCTTGATACTACAAATACTTCGGACGCATTTTTTGATTGGTCAATTAGTAAAAATTTTTTTTTAATTGGTCAAATGCTTCGAAGTATTTGGCAACGTCAATTTGGATCGCACCCATAAATCAGCTTACATTTTTAAAATTTTTAAAAATTGAAGTTTAAATATAGTAAGCGATTTATTTTATTTTTTTTGAACGTTTAGGCATTCGTCATACTGAGTTCATTTTTGAAAAAAGGACTCTGCACTAATTATATGAAAAACTGGGTCCCGATGAAATAATTAGTTGGTTTTTATATATGATGTATGTTTCTCTAAATTTTCTAGAGTGACTTTTCTAAAAAGAGTGAAAATACTGTCACTCAAGTGGCCGAGTGGCAGTATTTTCAATCTTTTGGAGTGAGATTCACTCCAGAAAATTTAGAGAGATAGCTTATAATTTTAATTTTAACATTTTAATGTTCCTATTCTTGATATCACTGATCACGTGCGTGTCACACACAATTACAAAGAAACATTACAATAATCGTTTGTATTAAAATCGTTTATATTAATACTGTTCTCTTTCAAATTAATTAAAAAATAATGGAATTAAATAAGATACATTTTGAAGAATTTCTGGAACATGTTAAAACTTTGCTTTTAATATAATCTAATTTGATTCACCTAAAAAGAAAATTATTTATTTCATGTCTGGTTTCATCCAATTACGCACACTTAATTTTCCAATCTTTATATCTTTTGCTAACACAAATCAGTAATAATTACCTTTCACATCCGGTTACGTGACAATTGGTAAGCTTTCCTTTTAGAGGATTGCTTTGGCCGCTAGTGTTCAGCCGCTCGGGTTGTAGAATATACAAATCTGTTTTCTTCTCGCAGGCCCGTAATTTTCTTGGATAATGAGCGGAAGTAGCTCGTGTAGTCGGTGGCGAGGCTGGTGTCGCTGGCGCGATTACTGGAAATCTCAGATATACGTTGTTCTCATTCGATGTTACTTCATCTGTTGAATCGGCAGGCGTCAACGACTCAAACTCGTGTGTCTCGTCATCGTCGGTGAATACCAGATCATCTGAAAAATTATAAACGTGTTTCTTATGACCCTTAATCGTATATCAAATAAGCAAGATATTAACAGTATGCTGAAAATTTACTAGCGAATTTAATCATAATATTGCGATTATTGGCATCAATTGTGTCCTGTTATCTCGACACAACTGCTCTCCTCTAGCGTAAATTTTTTTTCATTATCAATATTCTTGGAAATTATTTTTTAACAAATATATAAAGATATTTTAAATTTTATGTAAAATTACGCTAGTATAAAATAAAGTATAAAATATTTTATAAACTATTTTTTGATAACTTGTTCTTAATATCTAGAAATACTTTTATATAAAGAATAATTTAAAAAAATTATGTAAGGAAAATCGTATAATTAAAAAAAAGGTTCTATGTAATCTTGAAAAATCAATTTTTTCTAAAATTGTGATTTCATCATTATTTGTTCCTCTTCGGACTATACCGTTTTTATTTAAAACATTTTTGTCTATTAGGCTCAATTTTCAAATTTCGGACTGTTTAAAATGGACTGTTTAAAATAGACGACCTTATTCTATGGAACTATATGACAGTTTTGATAACTGTGAAATAAAATTCTGTATTGCTGTGTCTTTTGAAAATGATTTCTAGAATCAGTATTATATTACTGAAAGTACAAGATTTGAACATTCTAATTAAAAACATTCTCATAATAATTTAAAGAAATATTATGAGAAAATGGTTGTTTACAACGGCTGTAGCTTTGGAAAACTCTGCTGAAAGTCTTTTTTTGAAGTGGTTGAAATAGCCTCGGTCGAAGCCTTGTCGAACTGCTTTCTCTTCAGCTTTATTTAGCTTTAGCTTCATTTAACTTTTAGCTTCAGAAACAAAAACTAGTCATATAGTGCCAAATATGGTAAATATGGGGGATAATAAAAGACTACGACTGATTTGGAAGTAATAAAAAAAAACAGGTAATATTAAACAAATTATATTGAAATTCAAATATTTTTTTAAATTTTGACATATGTCCAGGAAATGCGTAAACTCACTAATTTCAAGATCGAGGTGCAATCTGAAAATATTAATCAATTTCGATGAAATTTTACTCAGACCATATTGAGATTCATGGCTAACTTTTGAGGATATTACTAATCGATTTTCAAAAATTTATTTGTTTATATTTTTCCTATATATTTATGTATTGGGGGTCCGAAAAGTGTGGCAACTCTTTAATATTTTGGAAACTTAGCGTTTTTGAGAAAAATGTTTTAGACAAAAGTAGGGCTTAAAAGAATCTACCTAATGATTTTATCAGTTTGACCTTGGGTGGCATCGTTAAAGTCCGGTTAAGAACCCATTGATTTTTTTTATGGAACACTTTATTTTTGGTTCCAGAATCTAATGCTGGTGTCAAGAGCTTTCCAAAAAGCATTCCATAAAATACTTTTTGATAAATTTCAAGTTATAAAGCTTGAAAGTTACAGTACCGCCGGTATTAGCATTATCCAAGGTGTCCGAACAATTGCTAAAATTTTTTGAATGTTGTTCAAGATCATGATCTTGACACATGTCTAAAATAAAAAAACAGGGTGTTTTATTTAAAAAAATTAATGT